AGGGAGAGACTATTGTGTTCCAGATTAGGAGAAGTCATAGGCTCAGAGAGCCTAAAGCAGGACAAGGGACAAAGAGCAGAGTGGAAAGGACAGAGCAGAGACATTTTTGCCTGTAGCGTTTTGTGTGCAGAATTAGAAAGAGGTGAGATTAAAACAGTAAGTTGGAGGTGGATTTTGAAGTCTTGTCTTTTAGGCTAAGAAGTCAAAACTTGGTTTTGTAAGAGGCGGAAAGTCAATGAAGATTTTGAATTCAGTGTAAAGATACTCTGTAAATATTATTCTAGCACTATTATGTAAAATAGATTGGAGAACTAAGAGTAAAACTAGGTCCACTTTGAGTTTGATTCAGGAATCTTGGTAAATGTCATGAGGTCCCTTGCTAGAATGCAGCAATATGAATGGAAGGTAAACTCACAACATGATACATTGCGAAAGAAGACATGGAAGAGTATAGAAGGATAGGAAAAGGCAGGAGTCAAAGGTTCAGTGATTTCTACAGTCGACAGAAATATGAAAGACTTGAGGTTGGTCCGAGTGCCCTGTGTTTACAACTAATTGATCACAACCAGTTACAGATTCCTTTGTTCTTTCTCCACTCTCACTGCTTTACTGGACCAGAAAAAGAAAAAGAAAAAGAAAAGTGAAAGACTTTAAAGAGATGTGGTTTGGATATTAGTTCAATTTTAGAAATGTTGAATTTGAGGTGACAGGAAGACATTTAAGTAAAGATGACCAGTAGGCATTTAGAGATGGGGAACAATATCAGGAGACATTAGAGCAGAGGGTAGAATCATGTGTAGGTGTAACAGGTCAGGTGAAAGGACTGAGGAGTGTGGAGCAAGGACCATTTACATTCCTTGGGGATTGGGTACAAAACTAGTGATTTTAAAAATATTTAATATGTATTCTGTTTATTGGAATCTAGGTGCTTTAAGGTTTATGATCTTAATTACGTGTTTTATATGTGATGAAGTAAACATGCTTTTGTTCATCTTTATTGGATACAAAAGTAGTATTTTCTTTCTAAGTCTATATTAGATATGATGGATCCATTTGCTCTCTAAATAGAATATATTAGGCATCTGTGGATTATTGGAACTCTTCTATTTCTAGACAATGAAAAGGAAAGTTAAAGTCAGAAAAGATGTTATGATTTTGTGAAAGATATCAGTTCCTGTCCTGATGACCTAAAACATAATAATACTGTAAGGCAACTATTGTGCACCATAAGTGAAAATCTGA